TCCACCCAAGCACCCAATTCGTTCTTCAGTCTTCTACTGGTATTCTTATTCCTTCTATGTGGTGCTAGCAAATGGAAATACTTCGTGTTTGCATCACCCCCCATTAACCAATTTTATTTGGAGCACTGACGCTAGTATAGCTCCTGTTGATGCAGCAAATCTTTGGAGCACTGACGCTAGTATAGCTCCTGTTGATGCAGCAAATCTCCGTAATTTTCTTCAACTTGGTGAAGCTGATAATTTTGAGTACCCAAGGAATGTTGAAGGAACCAATGAAGCTTTCATTTACACTCCTTGAGCTGATTTTTAAAATCACGATGCAAATTTGCCGAACATTCCCCTAATTGTTTACAACACGTGAAAATCTGAGCATCAAACCATTTGCTTTGATCAAGTAACCAGCAATTATGAACAACCTGTTCATAATCGACTTCCTTTACCCACGAGTTTTCAAAACAAAAATGACGAGGGACATATCGAGCAACTGCAAGATCCAAGGATACAAAAATCGGTTGATGATTTGAACCAATAACCTGCATCACCGTTAAAATTACATCATGAAATAACTCATTCCAACTTAACGTCAATATAGCCCGATCGAGTCTTTCACGCACTAGGCCTTCTCCCTCATGCCTATTCTCCCATGTAAAAGATAATCCGACGTACCCCAAATCTAAAAGCTCACCAATAACTACCCATGTAAGAGAAGCTTTCACCTTCAACGACCTTAGTAGATCCCAACTTTGACGATGTAATTTCTTTTGGAGTGCCTATAAAATCCTATTAGTCGCCAATTTACAGTGCCTTCAACCCTGCTGAACATCCATATAATGTGGAGAACAACTCATCAAATGAACGGAGTCCACATGTTTCCAAAAGATAGCAATACCAATCACTGTGTCCTACTAGATCCGTAACAAAAGCTCTAGTAAAACCTAATTGATTCTTTAATAAAAAAAATTCATTCTTTTAAAATCATCGTTTCCATTAAAAAACGAATTTGGGCCTCTTTTCCTAAATAAGGTCTCGTAAGACTTGAACTGTACGTGGGTTCCCAAGCCCATGACATTTCCAACGTAAGGTACTCATGGGTTTTGGTGGGCCTGAGAACCAGCACCTACCAAAATCAAGTTTTTTGGATCTTTCAAATTAGTCTCTAGAACCACATCATCATCCATTATTACCGTAAGATCTTCGGACTCATTATCTTTCCTCCTACATTTTGGATCAGCATTAATTAGACTTCTATTATCCTCATTAGTAGTTGACACATTGAGGACATCTAGTTCCGGCTTGCCATGCACATAATTCACGCCAAAGCCTACTCCCACCTTATAACTTTACTATATTCACTTACTGAAATAGCGGGACCTGATTTGAAGGAACATCAAATCCCACAAGGAAATCAAATCCCCACCATATCCATGCTATCCTTTATCCCCTATGTTTCAAACTTGAGAGTCAATCTGAGCCACCAACCCATACCAAACCAAAAAAAAAAAAAAAAAAAAAAAAAAAAAAAAAAAATCATTTTTTGATCTCAGCCATCGTGCCTCGATCTAAAGAGGTTTTCGGTTATCTGCTTTCAATCCTAGCCCATATGCAAATAGTTCACGAGGGATACATGGAAAATCTAGTAATTTGTTACAAAAATGATCAGAATGCCCAATCATGCCACAAAAATAGCAAAAAGTAGGCAATCTTTCATATTTAAAATCAATCCAAAACCATTCTCCCTTCGGCTTCTTCACTTGCATCCTTTGCTTTAATGGCAGGCAAACATCATTACTAACTCGAATTCTCATATAATCTCGCCACAACCCACTAAAATTTCTCGAATCAGCTTCCACGAATTCCCCAATGAAATTTTCCACATCATGACTAGCCCTTTTCAAGAAAAAACGATTGACTAAATTGTGAATCTGAATCCAAATATCTAGTCTCGTTCACCCCATCTCTCTAGGCTTGTCATTTGATTTAAGCTCCCTTAACAATAGAAGCATTTGGGTAAAGGTCCATGGATCGCCCTTAACAACACGTTCTACGTCTACTTTATGAAAAAAATGGAAAATATAAGCATTATTTCCCAGCTCCTTAATAATGAGACCCTTTACTAGCTGCCATACACTCGCCATTGTCTGCTTGAATGTCATAGAGTTTATAAATTTCTCAATTAGTAGCCGCCCTACAACATAGTGTTTCCATTCGATTCCCTAATCCTGTTCAGCAGCATTGTCATCCTCAACATATTCTAGATGCCTATTTCCTTCTTCTAAATTCAACCTAGCGTAGGCTTCAGCCAGCAGTCTTTCTGCCTCGCTACCTGATTCCATGATCACTAGAGCCAAGAAAATCACAAAACTAGGTAAAGAATAAAATGGTGAAAGGTGATTGATAATGAAGAAAAACTTGTTATCCAAATAAGAGGAAAAAAATCTTTATAGCAGAGAGAGAAAAAAATAAAAAGGAAAGATTCAATATATCAAAAGAAAATAAAATTATATACAGTTGTTAAATAAGAGGAACATTGATGTTCAGTAAAGATTTCTAAAGCTAAAGATGAGGAAAGTTTAAACAACGACTTGACAGGACAAATTCGCAAGTGTATGAAATTACAACAAGTAATAAAGAATGAGTAGAATATCGTTCCCACGAGGATTGTATACCAAGTACCAAAATTATGTTAACCTAATATTATTTAAAATCGCGTCAATCAAGGACGAGGATTGTATACAAGTACCAAAAATTAATGTTTAACCTATATTATTTTTAAACAATAAATAAAGAGAAATCATTTTGATAAATTAATTTAAAAGAAATAAAAAGAAGAATAAAAAGAAATCAAGTAAGATAAATTTGATGAAAAAAAAAAAAATCAAGGATTAAAGGCTACTAGGAATGTTGACTTCACTTAATTCTATCCAATTTATCTTATTAGTTTGATAATCAATTTTAATTGTTCAAGGAGGAGAAACAACCCTTAAATCGCTAACAAGCTCTCCCGATGTATTATTAGTTATTTTAACTCGGTTTAATTACCTATCTTCCAATAGCGTAAGCAAACATGAATTAAGTCATTAAGTTTTATAGTTTATTTATGAATTCATAACCTAAGGTCATTAACTTATGAAAACCCCCATGAGTCATACCATACAGCTTCTGCATTAAGTTATTATTCTCATTAATTTATTAATTTTTTTCATATAAAAAACCCTTCTCCTTATAGTGATTAATGAAATAAATCAATCCAAAGGAGAAACTCTACCTGAAAGCGTTAAGTTCAATAATAAACTATATCATGAACAAGAAAAAAAAAACTAATATTATAAATTAGAATCGAAATTAAAATATTAAATCCCTAGTATGTAAATTTAGTTTAACATAGTAAATAAATTAAACCCAAATAAGCTTGTAGATATTTCCATAATCAACATGAATATTGAAAATAAAACAAGAATAGAGTTTAGAAATAAAAACTAGTCGGCGATTGGCTTGTAGCGCTTCCTTGAATTTTGCTCTCCAAATTGATGGCTTGAAGTCTTATAAAGAGAAAGAGAAATGATGTAGAGAATAAAATATAGAATAATGAATGTGATGTGAATGTATCAATGATAACCTAATTAGTGTAGAGAGTTCTCTTTATATAGACTTTGTAGGGCTTCTTTGAGTTTAATTAGGAAAAAAACCACCTAACTTGTTGAGGAAGAAATAGAATTACAATAGGAAAGAATTAAGATTTGTATTTCTTCCACATTAAGAGGACAAGTTGATCAACTAGGATGGAATTAGGTAGTAGCTTCGTAGTCTCCACTCTTCCTCATTTGATATTTGGCAAATTCCTGATTAAATCCCTATAAAAACCTTCCAAAACAATATCAAAACAATAAAGGAAGCAAAAATTAACAATTAAATAATAAATAAATATAAACTAATTAAAGTAATTAAAAACACTAAAAATCTTAATAAAAATTATATTAAAAATACTATAAAAATAACACCTATCATAATTCAAAAAGACGTGGTTCTTAGGAGGAGTGCTCCTTGTAAGGAAGGTTGTTGGGACCAGGGATGATAATTACTTGAGGGATACGCGCTCAAAGAGGAGGAGATTTTGCATAATGACTCGAAAAACATTTATCTCAGGAGAGATGTTGCTTTTTATAAAAAATGCTGCTGAGTAAAGATGATATGTGCCCCTAGAGAAGCATTATCTAGACTTAAAATTTCTTTTTTTTTTTTTTTTTTTTTTTTTTTTTTTTTTTAAAGCAGAGAGTGTTTTTTTTGTCTATTTTAGATGATTCAAATAAAGATAAGAAGAGGATTGAATTTAGGATTTAACCGGTTTCTAAATTTTGGACAAACAAGAACTAAATTTTTTACAAAATAAATAGGAGGGAACAAATTATGTTTTTGAGCTTTAACTTGAATGAAACAAATGAAACAATTTTTTTTTTTTTTTTTTTTTTTTTTTTTTGAATAAAGACAATGAATATATAACATTGGCATAGGAAAATGTTTATTATTTTGATTGAACTCCAGCTTGGGCTTTCTACGTATCCCAATTTTATAAAATTATGTATTTTTTGCAAAAAGTAAGTTTTTTAGATAATAAGGTCATAATCCTTATTTACAATGCGTGATTGTGACTCTCACTTCAACAAGCTTCATTTGCCACTCCTAGGCTAGATGAACTCTTGATTTGGAAGGTTTTGACATGATTTTTGTAAATTCTTCTTTCTCTTCATTTATGATCAAGTTGGCTCTCTCTTCTTTCTCTCTATAATTAGCAGCTTCCGCTACTTGAGGTTTCCTTTTTGAAAATAGCCAATATGAACAACAAGTGTTTTAAAAGTGTTTTAAAACAACATATATTATCTATCCAAACAAGTGTTTTAAAAGTCCACAATATGCTTTTCTCAATGTTTAAGGTACCCTAAACAAGCCTTTGATACCCAATAGGAAGTAAATATTATTTAATATGAACAACACAACTATAAATTACTTATTTTTTATTTGAAAACTTAAGCCAGCACTAATGGTTAGGAGCGCTTGGACCTCCAATTTGGTAGGTATTCCTTTGCTCTTGCTCTAGCCTTCTCTTTAGATAATTGCTCTTGATCTTCCGCAATTCATTTATTGCGTTGGGGATTGGTAATCTTTCTCGCGGTTGTTCCATTGAACATGGTTGTTCCATTGAACATGCGAGTCCAACTTTTAGTATAGAAACAATGCCTTCCTCAAAATACCATCTTTCCTCTTCGGATAGAATTCTTGAATCCACAATGTCCATTACTTCATATGAAAAAGATCTCTCAACAAAAGTATGAAGATTTAAATCATCTTGAAAATCACTAGCGGTTGGTCTCTTTCCTGTAAACATTTTCAATAATAAAATCCCATAGCTATATATATCTCCCTCTACTGATATTCTACCACCCATTCCATAATCTGCAAATGGATGCAGTGTATTAACATAAGACAGAGCATCTTAATGTAAATATAATTATAGTAAAAACAGTCTAAATAAATAAAGCAAAAAAACTGAATTACAACACATTTCATTAGCATCTGGCATATAATTTGCAGTCAAAATAGCAAAATGATGAATAATTAAAGAAATATATATATAACAGCTGTATGGAGGTGGAGGGCAACTGCTGAGTCGTCTTTTTCAGAAAAAAAGTAGAAAATGAAATTAGCAAATGATGAATACAGAATATACAAAATATACCATTGAATAATAAAAATAATATTTTTATTGATGCGCATTGGACTGAGGTATTTACTGCCTACAATAAATTCAAATAAATTTTATATTTAAAATTGATTTTTTAAGAGTTCTTTAGAGGTAACAAAATGAAAAAAAAAAAATTAAGTCAATTTTTTGAAGTTATATTTTAGCTTCCTTTGAAACTTAAAATTAATGCTAACGATATAATTATATTTACAAATATTAATGAAAATAAAAATTATCATCATTCATGATCTTTTAAAAAATTAAAAATTTCATTTTCAAATTGAAGCAATCATTTTTCATTTCAAGAAATCGAGACAAACAACGAATAATGGTTATAAATACAATATCCAATAAAATGTTAAATAGTTTATCATTCTTTTTCATTTATACAAAAATAAAAAATAAATGAAATATTAATTTTTTATTTTGGAAAAAAAAATTCCTTATAAATATTTTTTTATCAACAAATTCAATTTATTGAAAAATTATAATACTGAATGGAGGACACCCATATGTGCATTAGTTTTGTTTCATAACTTAAAACGTATTAGGAAGTTTTAGCATACTGTATATCTAAATTAGTAGGTATCCTTGAACGAGCAGAATTTAATTTTAATAAAAATAAAATAAATTAGTGGGCATTACGAAGTGTATACCTGGAGCAACATAGCCAATAGTTCCTTTAATAGCTATCGAACTGCTGCTTTGGGACGATGGAGCCTCATCAGATATTGTGGAGATAATTTTAGCCAACCCAAAATCTCCAATATGAGCAGTCATCTCTTCATCTCGAACTGCTGCTTTGGGACGATGGAGCCTCATCAGATATTGCGGAGATAATTTTAGCCAGCCCAAAATCTCCAATATGAGGAATCATCTCTTCATCCAATAGAACATTACTTGGCTTTAGATCGCCATGTATGATTGTTGTTGAGCTTCCATTATGAAGATACTCTATTGCTGTAGCGATATCAATGGCTATGTTTAATCTATCTATTAATTTCAGATATCTTGATTCTCCTTCTATTCCATTCTGTGCATGCAACCATTTCTCCAAGCTCCCACTCCAAGCTCCCATTGGCCAATGAAATTTATATATCTAAAGCTTTAAAATCATTACCTTCAAAGTCAATGCTAGAACACACACTGAGCAGCCTCAAAAGATTTCGATGCCTAACATTTCTGAGAGCTTGGCATTCTGACATGAAACTGTTTGAAGCTCCTCTTCGTTGCAGATTTAAAACTTTGATCGCCACGTCTATTCCTACCTGTTCAAGAAATCCTTTATAGACAGAGCCATAGGTACCAACACCAATTATGTTTTCTATAGAGAATCCATTTGTTGCTTTGAAGACTTCTGCATAAGATATTCTCAAAAATTGGTATTGAAATGATGGTCTAGAAAGATTCATCTTTCTAGGATTTCTTTTGCAATACCAAATAATTAACACACACACCAAAACAGCCAGAAATATTCTGAGAACCACAGGGATTATTACTTTCGTTGCAGAGGATTCTTTGTTCTTGGAGCTGGGGGAAGGACAAAAAGGAAGCTTGAATTCAGCAATACCTCCACACAGACCATTGTTTCCTTGTAGTGACACTGCACTTGCATTTAGAAAAACTCCAAGTTTAAACTCCAAGTTTGGGAACCTCTCCTTGGATTTGGTTGAAAGATAGATTCAAATAGTTCAACTCTTTAAGGTCGGCTAATGAATTCATAATTTCTCCTGAAAAATTGTTGCTTGAAATATCGAGCTTCCTTAAACCTTGTAAAGCACTAAATGACTGAGGTATCTTCCCTTCAAATGAATTTCCCTCTAGATGAAGCTCTTCTAAAATCAAACACTTGCTAATGGTGTTTGGAATCATGCCAGATAATTTATTGGAGCAAATCAATTTGACGAAGATTTTGCAAGAAGCCAACTTCCTAATGGAAAGAAACCACTAAGTGCATTAGGCAGATAAATTGAGAGAAACTGAAAGAGAGGAAAGAACCAATTTTGACCTGTTTTGGTATTGAACCACTGAGACTATTATGTGATAGATCCAAAATCAATCAAATTATGGCAATTTTCCAGATTTGAAGAATGCTTCCTTAGATTATTCAACTGTAATAGAGAAGACTCAACATAATATAAAATTAACCATTGAAGATGCAAAGTTCCTGTTAATCCGTTGCTCCCCAAGTCCAACACTTGCAGCAGTTGCAATTTCTCAAAATTAAGTATTAATAGGGCCAGTGAGGTAATTTATTGCTAACAACAAAAGTCGCAGGTTGATGAGGTTTTGAAACTCCGATAGGAATTGTACTTGAAACTGATGTTTTTGATAGACTGAAGTGTCCATTTCTTTGGAGAGATTTGCTATGGAATTGGGTTAAAGACCCACTAAGAAAATTAGATTCTGACGTTCATATGGATTAAATTAGAGCAATTAGTCAGAGAATCAATGAAACTTTAAGTCACCTTCTAGTTGATTAAAGGAAAATTCTCATGTATAACAAGATTGAAAGCTTTCCAAGTTCCATTTTGGGAACCGGGTCCCAAGTAAAAATAGTTACCAGATAAAATCAAAATTATCAAAGCGAGGAAGCATTTAACAGTGAAAATTGGATTGGTCGCAGTAAACTTGTTCGAATGGCAAGAAGAAAGCCTTCTAGGGTTTGGGGGAGAGTGGAGACCTACATTAGAGGGGATAGTACCATGTAATTGGTTAAATATAGACTGAAAAAATACACGAATACTCGAGATATTGAAGAGGCCATGAAGGAAATTTCACCAGTTAGATATTCTCACTCAACGTCAAAAGTCTCAAAAGCTCCGAAGGCGAGAGACTTCCTCGGGTATCTGTCCTTGCACATCATTTGTAGTTAAGAGAGAACTGTAAAAGAGATGAAAGATTCCCAATGGAAGGAGGAATCCTTCCAATTGAGATTATTTTGACCCAAACCTAAAGCTTCAATTTTTCATTAAAAACGCCCAGTTCGGAAGGGGATGTTAACCCTGCACTTGTTGTGATTGAGATGCAAGAATACACAAGGTTCGAGCAACTGACAAATTTGCCGGTATCTTCCCGCTAAAGAATTATTGCTGAGTGTTAAATGATCTAGGCGCCGTAAGACGACCTATTTCCTGGTGGGAAATTTCGCCCATAAAAGCTATTGTTTTGACCAAATCGATACTCTTAAGAAAGGAGAGGTTTCCATAATATGTGGTGAGAGTGATCCTACCAAGCCTTGCGAGTTCAGGTTCAAGGCGTTGACCCTACCAGAATGCCTCCGACTGCAAAAAATGCCCTGCCAATCGCAGAAATGCAGCGAATTATTCCAAGAACTGAGGATTTGAAATGGGTCTTGTTGTATGGCAAGTTTAAAGGATATTAAAGCAAATCTGTCAGTTTCATTTTGAAAGCAAGTGATTGAATTGAAGAAGCAAAAGCACCAGCATAAGAGAGCTGGGATATGATAAAGAGAGCAAAACTTTAACGCCATAGCTTCTTCACAGCCAAAAATGCTTTTGGTTATGATTAAGTGGCAGCTATGGTGTATCTATATATATTAAGATAGCAGCGGAAGTGGTGGGACTTGGAATTAGTTATATCAACCTAATTCCTAGCTAGTATTAATATTGACCGTTGACTTTTTTTTATGCCGCTTTTTCTTTTTTTAGCTACAGTAACCAATAAACAATATAATATAATTCTCTTTACCCAAAAAAAAATATATAATAAAAATCTAGGGACTGATGGGCTGCTAAAGCAACAAATATAGTGAATTAAATAATATGCAATAAACAATAAATGCACAACAACAAGCTAAATATTAATATATAAATTTATATATAGGGAAGTTTTTATTGGACCATTGGATCCAAATCATTTTGTCATTAAAATCGACTAAAATCACTTTATGATGTGATTAAAATATTTTATTGCCCTCAAGTGATTTAGAAGGGGGAAAAAAACATAAAGCAGTTGAAAGCACTAACAATTTATAAAAGATTATTGTAATCTTTAATTAATTTGGAGGGCAAATGGTTGTTGTTCCTCCGTATTTAAAATAAGTGTTAATTTTTTATCCCTGTCGGTAAAATTAATTATTTTATAGTTGTCAGTTTATTTTATGTAGCGATTTTAAGCATTAAACTATTTGAGTTGTGTTTATGAAAGTTAAATTGTATATGATGGTTAAACTTTCACAACGTTATCTTGATATTTAAAGTTAGTCAACACTATTTGGGTGGTCCTTGATTCTAGCTATGCAGGGAGCTCCTCGCCAATATTTTAAACGATAGAGTATATCTCTCTCGAACTTTAAATACTGCTCTTAATTATTGAATTAGATTCGAAAAATGCTATATATTAGGTTATCTCAAAGGGACAAACGTCCTTGGAAGTAGTAGAAATATTTCAACAAGATTTGATGTAATGCTGAATCCACAGATAATATCTTCTTTCACTCATTGTGATCAGAGAGAAGAAGAAAGCCATTTTGCTGATAGTTTGGCTTAAGAGGACTTGTAGATGCAACAATGCCCTTTATTACTTGGAATTTGATTTTTAATGTGACATCCCAGGTTTGGGGCACAAACACCTTAGGCGAATCCACATCGGTACGCACAAGGTGGAAGTTAATGTTACATAAAGGGCAGCCTTGAAACTAGTATGAACGCGTTTTGGGCTTATATGCAGACTAGTGTGATGTTGTTTTGGCTATCAGGCGTGGTTTCGCTGCCCAGGAACAAAACCGTCGCGGGCCGGGTTAGGCCCAAAGCGGACACATATCCACACTAGGGTAGGCATTAACAAATTGGTATCAGAAGCAAGCCTTGGTCCCTCTAGCGGTGGGGGGCAAACCTCAGCAAGGACGCTGAGTCCCTAAGGGGGAGGTGTATGTGACATCCAGGTTTGGGCAACAACACCTTAGGCGAAATCCCACATCGGCTACGCACAAGGTTAGAAATAATGTACATAAGGTGGCAGCCTGAACTAGTTAGGTGGACGCGTTTTGAGCTTATTCAGGCATGGTTATCGCTGGCCCAGGAATAAAACTGTTGCAGGCCGGGTTAGGCCCAAAGCGGACAATGATCACACTAGGGCTGGGCTGTTACATTTACTTTGCAGGACTATATGATATTTTTTATTCAATTATTCTTGTTTCTTTTCTTATCTCGAGAAGAGACGTCAAGCTGATAAAAGTTTATCGGTTTATCCCACTTAGCACTCCAAACTAGGGTGGGTATGGAAGGGCTTAAATGGCCGAAAGTTCATGCTTGGCTATGTAGTTTTTTCGCGGATTTTAATAATAAAAGAAACATTTATTGATTAAAAATAAATGTTATCACAACGCTTATTAAAAGTAGTATTTAGTCAAACATGTTATAGCTATTTAAAAAAGTTGTTTGCCGAACACAACTTTTTATTAAATTAGGGCTCCATTTCTTTCATATTGTACGCTTAATTATTATTTTAATATTCTACCATAATGTAATTGTACCTTAATCACTCAATTTAATTGCGGAAGGTATATTCATTATTATAAAATTAATTTTTATAAAATTTAGATTATTAATGTGCATTTTTTAATTCATGTGCGAAAGCAGAAAACGATACACTTTTATCTGAAAGTGAGGAAGTTATACCATTTATTATTGTTTTATTGATGAAGAGAAAAGAATAATTCTAGCCCATGAATGAAATTACATTTAGAGAAGGTGATTAAACCCAAATGAATATTGGTTTTTTTTTTTTTATTTATTATTTACTACCTCCTGTTCCATTAATATTTCCTCATATTGAGAAGAAAAAAAAGTTGTCCCAAATACTTGTCACATCTTGTGGTTCTAATGAGTAGATAATCTCTTTGTTCCAGTATTTACCCTGTATATTGACCAATAATTATTAATTCAATTTAATATTTTTTTTTAGAAGAAAAGTATCTAAATTAAAGAGTAATATAATCAATTTACTCGATAATATCGTAACTTAGGATAAATTTAATGATTCTTCCTAAAGAAACGAGAAATTCAAACTGTGACAACAATATTAATTTAACAGCAGGTAGGATTAATCAGGCATACAGTCTTGAATTGCACTCTAAACTTTAAGGCTGCCATAAATACTACATTGCTCGTCTTAATCAAGCATATCAAACTGAGCATCGTCGAATCACTGCCTAGAATTGAAATGCTTTGAAATGACAGGCTTATTTTCGGCAAGTGTACGAATCGCTACAAGTAATACTATAATAGGAGAAGATATCGTTCCCATGAGATATAATCCAATCACCAAAATTAATGTTATCTCGTTATTATTTAAACGATAATAGTGAAGTTGTTTTATAAAAGTAAAATAAAACAAGAGTCAAGTAAAATAAGATTTGATAAAAGGAATCAAGGGATTAAAAACTTAACTAGGGGTTTATTTCACTTAATCTATCAAATTTATTTCCATTATTAATTAATCAATGTTAATTATTCAAGTAGGGAAACAACTCTGAATTCACTACAAAGCTCTTTCCAATTGTATTGCTAGCTATTTTAATTCCATTTAATACCTATCTCTCTCTT